ACCTGAGCCGAAGGCAGACGCTTAACGACTGAGCCACCTAGGTGCCCCTATTTTTGTTTTTTTAAAAGATTTATTTATTTATTTGAGAGAGAGGGGGCGCACACGAGTTGGGGGAGGGGCCAAGGGTGAGGGAGGGAGAGAATCTCAAACAGACTCCCCACTGAGCGCAGAGCCCCACGCGGGACCCAGTATCACGACCCTGAAATCATGACCTGAGCTGAAAGCAAGAGCTGGACGCTTAACTGACTGAGCCACCAGGGCGCCCCAAGTTTCACTTTTTTGTTGTTGTTAAATAGGGCAAGTGCCTTCCAGTCCATGGCTTTTATTGGCTTGTGTTTCATATTCATTCACCAAACATTTCTTGAGCACCTACTGTGTGCCAGGCACTGTTCTAGATACTGAGATACAGTTGGGAACAAGGCAAACACAAATCCCTGCCTTCTGGAGCTTAAATTCTATTATTTCACGGCAGAGCCCGAGGCTTTTGCCAAAGGAACGAAGAATTAGTCAAGTTCTCTGCCCGGCACGAGAAGCATGGCTAATGCATCTGCCCTCACCGAGTTTCCCCAAAAGTAGGATATGTGCACCTGTGGTCAGAAGTGAGATGATTTGGGGGTGGTGCATGCACATGGCATCGAACAGCTTTGAATCATGTAGTGAGGAAGGTATTTCCTTTCCAATTTCCTTTCAGTTACTTTATTTTTTTAAAAGTTTTACTGATTTATTTGAGAGAGAGAGAGAGAGCGCGCGTGCACACAAGCAGGGGAAGGGGCAGAGGGAGAGGGAGAAGCAGACTCCCCACTGAGCAGGGACCCCCAGGATCATGACCCGAGCTGAAGGTAGACGCTTAACCAACTGATCCATCCAGGTGCCCCTCCTTTCAGCTATTTCAAAGAGAAATGTCGGATTGGTACTAATAAGACCCTAACACTTCCCTAAACTTGCTGATTCCTCCCCCTATCCCCCAACCCGCAATTTTCTCTTTTCCCAAAGAGTGGACCTTGGGCACGAGCCTTCAGCCTCTTTCTAGAATGCAGTAGAACTGTTCTGCACAAGTACTGAGTTCAATAGTGGGTCCCTGCCATTGCCCGTGTTGACTATGACCAATGTTCTCAAGGTGTGGAACCCAGACCAGCACCATCACCTGGGAACTTGCTGAAAAATGGAAATTCATGGGTTCTCATCTCAGACATACCGAGTCAGACACTCTGGGGCTGGGGCCCAGCAACACTCCCCAGCCCCCAGGGTGACTCTGATCCTGTTAAATTTGAGAACCAGTTCTGTGGGGTTCATTCTTGCCTTGGACCAATGGACAACCGTCTTAGCTCAGTAGACCCAGCTGGCCAGGGCACTTGCGCCCCCTCTTACCATGTCCAACTGTTTGTGCGTGTCCTCCAGGGACACGGTGGTGGTCTCCTTCAGCTGCTTGCTCACGATCTGGAAGAGGTTCAGTGTCGCCATCTTAATGGTGCCAAGCAAGAGGGTCTTCTTGGCGGCAGTGTTCTGGATGTGTGCCCAGCGAGATTCCTGGGGAGGGATTGGGGCCGGGACGTGAGCAGGTGTGTGGCGCACGTGTGTGGTCCCTCGCTCACCCCGCGCCCCGAAGCCCCCCAGCCACGCCCCCCGCCCCCGCGCTCACCCAGATGATGACATCGCTGCGGGCGCGGTCGAAGCGCATCTGCAGCCGCGCCAGCTCGTTGTTGTGCTGCAGGATCTCGTCGTCCTTCTCCTCCATGTAGCGCGCCAGCCGCGCCTTGGCGCGCTCGATCTTCTCCTGGCCCTCCTGCGCCGACTGCATCAGGTCCTGGTGCATGCTCACCAGGGTCCTGTAGCGCGCAATCACCTCGTGGATCTCCTCGAACTGCGGCAGGGGCTCCGTCACTACACTGCTGCCCGCCCCAGGCCCGATGGTGGGTGCAGCTCCCCCCCCCCACCTGCCAACCCCCTGCCTAGATGCCTCAGCCTAGCGGGGAGACCCTAGGCCAAGGTCAAAGGGCAGAGGCCGTAAGGACGTTGGAGTCCCCCCTGCTCGCCCTCCTGGGTTGGGGGCACATGCAACCGGAGCTGGGGTCCTCGGTCTGCATGTTGGGATCACCTGGGAGCTTTAAAAAGGACACCTGTCTGGCTCCACCCCCGAGAGAGTCATTTTATTTATTTATTTATTTTTAAAGGTTTTATTTATTTATTTGAGAGCGAGCAAGCGAGAGAGCACAAGCAGGGGGAGAGGAAGAGGGAGAAGCAGGCTCCCCGCTGAGCAGGGCTTGATTCCCAGGACCCGGAGATCATGTCCTGAGGGGAAGGCAGGTGCTCAACCTGCGGAGCCACCCAGCGTCCCCAAGAGATTCATTTAAATAAACAGGTCCGAGGTGGTCCCTGGCACCTGAATTTTGCAAAAAGGTCCCCCACGTGATTCTAGAGGGTTGCTGGCTGGGGCTCGGGGGTTGGAGAGGTGCATTTGGAAAGGTCTCCCAAGGCAGTAATTACCCTGTCCAAGGACGTACCGAGAACCACTTATAAGCCAGGCAGTATGCTAAATGCGAGGGACAGAGCAGGAGATAAGGAAGCCAGACCCTGCTCTTAGGAAGCCTACAACTTGGGCTGGTGTGGAGGGAGGACAGACAGACAAGGAAAGAGTTACAACACGGAGTGATAAGCCCTAGCTATGACTGGGGGGTGGGGCTGGTCAAAGATGTACGGTAATATCTTCAGCATAAGGCTTTCTGGTATTTGTTCACATTTGCTGAGGTTCCCTCTCCAGTGGGGGCTGGAGACGCTACCAGCAGGGCGGGTGGCCTGCCAGGCACAGCTGTCTCCTTCGGCATGGACCTGACTTTGCAGGCCACCCTCCCTGCGTAGAAGGCGGTGTGAACGCTGGCCTTTGCATCGATAAAGCCTCTGTGGGGGGTGGGGTGGGGGCGGACATCCAAGTCAGCATCAGAGGAGGTGGGAACATCCAGGAAAGGTCTCCTGGGGTAAAGGATGGCTGCAATGAGACCAGAGGTATGAGCAGAAGCCAGCCAGCCAAGGGCAAGTGGGGGAAGGTGAGGACAAGTAGAGGGAGTAGCTGCCTATAGACCACGGGTACGTGTGGCATGTTCAAGATGCTCACAGGAGCTTAGTATGAATAATAGCCTGCATTCAAGATGGGGAGGGACAGATCCACCCAGAGGAAGTAACAAAAGTGCCCAGTAGCCCCCGAGGAGGAGTGTGGGCTTCCTCCATTAAAGGGTTTTAGGAAGCAGAGAGAGAACTTTATGTCTGCGTTTCCGAAAGTTCACCGAGTACACACACGATGTGACAGCATGCGACAGATAAAGCAAATGGAGCTCCCAGGAGCATCTGTTGAGTACTTGGTGCTGGTGTCCAAAGGACGCAGGTACCAACCTGAAGAGGCTCCCGCTGTTTAAAGATGGGACACTTTGCACATCAGTGAGAAAAAGGGCAAAGGATCGACACACACCAGACATGTCAACAATCCACGAATTCATAACATACTAACAGCACGACGGGTCACCTTTGGAGGATGCCAGAGAATCAGTTCATGACTCTGAAAACTGTAATTAAGAATCAAGCACTTAACGAGTTTTCCTTTAAGACTCACAAAGTCATCAAACAGCTGATGAAAGGAAGATTCTCCCAATGAAGTCTTTGTTGGTGGTAGTTTCTTAGCTAATACGTGAAGAGACGACAGAACGTTTCCGGCACCCTAGAAGGGTCTACCGCCCGCTTTCGGCTCAGTGTCTGCCCCCACTACCAAAGAAACCAGAACTGTGGCTTCTATCACCAAAGATCCACTTTTACCTGTTCTTAAATCTGTCAGTGGGATCATATGTATGTCCTCTTTTCTGTCTAGTTTCTTTGGATCCGCATCAGAATGTCTGTGACACTCGAGACACAAACGTATCAACCAAATGCCGTGTAGGGACCTTGTTTGGACCCCGATTGGAACCAACCACTTGTACACAAAGCACGTGTGCAACAGCTGGGGAAATTTTAACATTGATTGCAGACTTGATATTAAGGAATTACGATCACATTTTTACCGGGTATGATGAGGGTATTGACCTCATCTTTGAGAGTCACATACTGAAATACAGATGAGAAAAAAATATCATTTGCTTCAAAATGGCCGAGGTGGGAAGGTCCGGGGGATGATTTGATGAGTCGATGGTTGTCAGAATTAGTGATGAGTAACGGGCATTCAATAGATGATTCTATTTTTGTATATGTTGGAAAGTTTCCACAATAAAAAAAATTTTTTTTAAGAAAAAGCATCATTGAGAACCCTGAGAGACGATGGACTCTGAAAAACAAACTGAGGGTTCTAGAGGGGAGGGGGGTAGGAGGATGGGTGAGCCCGGTGATGGGTATTAAAGAGGGCACGTACTGAATGGAGCACTGGGTGTTGTACGCAAATAATGAATCATGGAACACTACATCAAAAACTAATGATGTAATGTATGGTGATTAACATAACATAATAAAATAAAAAAAAAAGAAAAAGCATCATTGATCAGAAAAAGCAACTCTCGAAGAGACACGAGCAACACCCTTCATAGTCTATGGATATGTACTTTGTGGCCAAAATAATAACAAGCATGAGCATGAGCAGTTTAAAGATCAGGATGGTGGCTGCCTCCTCAGAGAGGGGAAAAAGAAGCGGGTTTGGAAGCGGGGGCCCACAAGGGGTTTCAATTAGCGGTAGTGTCTTAAGAAAAAAGGACTGGAAGCCAATAGGGGGAAATATTAAGATCTGACAAGGTGCAATGCATACCTGGGGGCTATTATATATTTCTCTATACTTTTCGGTGTGCTTAAAATATTCTGAAAGACGTAAGGGAAGAAGGAAAGAGAGAGGAAGAAAGCGGGGCGGGAGATCACGCTGGGAGGGCATGGGACAGGCTGGTGGCCAGGAATAAAGCAGTGTTGAACTCCGGATGAGGTGCACTGGGGGTCTGGATGAAGAAGGGGCAGGGGCGGATTCCAGAAATACTTAGGAGGCAGAATAGACCAGATCTGCTGATGGATGGGCTGTGGGGAGGGAGGAGGGGGAGGAGGCGAGGAGGAGGCCCCGGTTCTAGCAGGGCTGAGGGTGGGAGGCCACGCCATTCACAGAGCCAGACACACACAGTGGGAGGACTGGCCTCGGGTGGCAGGGAGCTGATGAGCTGAGCCGGAGACTCCAGACCGTGGGTGTAGGGGCATGAAGCTCAGAGCCAGACACAGGCCAAGCTCCTCGGTTATAAGACACACCTTTCCCCCAGCTCTGAGTCTGAGTCCTCTCTTATAATTTATCTGCTGTTTTGATACGTAGTCTCCCCCACTCCCCCCCACCCCATTATGAATGAACCATTTATTGTACAATAGGTACCTTAGAATGGAACACATAACACAGATTTGGGCTTCACATGTGCATAAATTAGTTCTAGTACAGGACTTCAGAAATTATCTGGGACTTTAGAAAGCTGTCCATCCTTTGTCCCCCCTGGCGCCGCCCTCAGGACACTGACCCACACCCCCCGGAGGGCATACCCCATACCTGGCACATACCCCCTCCCCCCCGCCCCCGCCGCTGTGAGGGGCCCTGCCTGTTGCTGTCACATGGGGGATGTGGGAGGCATCCGTGGGAGGTCCCTTGAGTTGGTCAGGGAGAAAAGTGGAGGGTCAGGGACAAAGACCCGAGGACCGCTTAAGGAAGGAGCCAGGAACAGGAGCCCCCAGAGGAGGCTGAGGAGGAAGGGCCAGAGGTGGGAGGAGGGGAGGAGACAGGGGAGGAGCCCCAAGCAAAGGGCAAAGCCCTGTTTCAAGGAGGCGTGCGCACCAGCCCAGGGCCGGGCCTGTGCACTGCGCTCTCTAACTCTGCATTGCGTTCTCTCCCTTCTTCTCTCCGTGGACTCCCAGGTAAACAGAACACAGCAGGGAGGAGGGGGGGCAGGGGTGGGTGCCAGCCACATCCTGCTGCAGGCAAAGCTAGTCACTGGTGGTCTCAAGCGAAACCTCGCTCCCCCAACACACACACACACAGACATACGCACGCCGCCCAGATGCACCTGCAGACCCTGGACCCCTGAGAAACAAGCCCACCCCCGCCTCCCAGGGGCCTCTCCCACCATCCTGCGCTGGCCCCAGGCCCTGGGGAAGTCCCCCCGCCCGTTCCCCAGCTCACCTCTGAGTTCTCCACCACCTTCTCCAGGTACTTGTTGAAGATGGAGTAGTCCTGCAGCTTCATGCTCAGCTTCTGGTGCTCCAGCCGCAAGGCCACCATCTCCTGCTTGGCCTTGGCCAGCTCTTGCACGCGCTGCCTCTTCAGTTCCCGCTCCTTGCTGGCTTTCTTCAGGGCGCGGATCCGCTTCTGGTCGTTCTCCTGGGGCGGGGGAGGGAGGGAGGTGGCACCCATTGGACACTGGGCCCGTCCTCCCCTCTGTCTGTCGGGGATGGGCAGGGATCGCCGGGCCGCCCCTGTGGGCAAGGAGGCCCGGATTCCCTCCCCATTTGGTGCTTGGTACTTGGTGCCTCAATTTCTCCAACTGTAGAAAGGAGAGGCCCTGGGCAACCGTGCTTCAGCTGGGAGAGGCATCCGGCTGAGGCCGGAGCCGACAGTGCAGACTACTGATGTCCTCAAAGAAAGGGCATTCGGGCTGACACCCCCTTCTCCTTCATTCTGCAAAGCCCTCCCCGCAGGATCAGGGGGCACTCGCACCCCTCACAGTGCACCTGTGTGGTTCCTGTCCCTCTTCATGGATGGAGGACATTCGGAGGTAGGTGGAGAAGGCACAGGGAGGGTTCGCACTCTGCCCCGTGAGCCCGGGAGAGGACCCAGGGTCCCCTAAACCAGTCCAATTGTGCATCATAATCCCCTGGGGAGCTTTTTAAAAATGCAGTTGCTGGGCCCCCCCTGAGGACAATTGAAAGCACAGAGAGAGTCCCAGGGGTCTGTATTTGTGACAGTTTTCCAGGATTTCCAGGCTGCTGGGCCTCTGGCAGCCCTTGGAGAAGCTCTCAGTCCCATCTCCTGCCACCCCGCCCATGCCCCTAGCCTTTCTCTGGCCAGTAAGGACCTGACCCCTGGAGAACGTGCCCAGCCCCCATCAGCTTCCTCTCCCACCTGGAGAAGGCGCAGAGCAAGACAGAACTGCTTAAGAGCAGGGCCACCCCCTCGAGCGAGTGGAGGCCAGGGATTCCGCCCCCCCAC